TCGATTCTCCCTCGACACAGACCGTTTCTCCGCTTTGCGTTCGAAGGGCGAGCGTATCAGTACAAGGTCCTCCCCTTCGGGCAGTCTCGAGCGCAGTTGTGCGAACACAGGGACACGGTGCTCCGTCACCTCAGCTGGTTGGGGCTTCGGGTCAACCGCTGCCATCTCTGCTGCGTAGTCATCTCACCCCAGGCGGGTTGAGTCTACCGCAGGGACTTCCATATGTAGCACTGCCCTGGGCCAGTCCATATGTGTAATTCCACATGATACCTCCTATGCGCAGGATGTGGCTTCCGTAGCGTTCCCAACTGGGTACGCTTTCCCAGTGTTATCCAATGTACCACTGTATGGAACAGCAGTGTGGACACCTCTGCCTAGCCGCTGTCCTATCTTCCGCCCCAGCTGGTGTGGGGGGACTTGCCGGCTTCCGCAGGGCACTGGAGGGGGTCAGCAATAGTGGCGTTTTCCATACGGATCCCAATTCGTCAGTCACGACTGACGTAACGTAGAACGTGACTGACTGAAAGGGAACGTCTCGGTTACTTGTGTAACCCTCGTTCCCTGAAGGAGGGAACGGAGACGTTACGTTCCGTCGCCACAGTTGCTGTACCACCGCTGTACGGCTGGGGTGTGTAGTCTCGGCTCCTCAGCGAAAAACTGATGTGCGTTTGCACGTGCTCTCCTTTTATACCCGCGCTGCGGGGCGGGGTGCGCGTGGCGAAACACGCACGCCAACTGTCATTGGCTTGTTTAGTTTACACTCGAAGGTGATTGGGCTCTCGGGCGAGATCCCAATTCGTCAGTCACGACATACCAATTTATGCTGGATTCACTCTTGAAATAGCAGTGATTGACACAGTGATAACCAAAGCAATGGATGGGACAAAAAAATATGTGAGAGCACCCTCAGTGATGTAATTCTGGAACCAGTCCAGGCCAAACTTCCACAGAAAGCACGCGTCCTGAACGAGATCTAGTTCACCGACCAAACGCATGTGTAAACTTATCAGCCAATAATTTCATTTCCAGTAATGGATGGTAGAAAGTTCAGAAATGAATGGTATGCGATTTATGACAGAATATAGTCCCACAACCGATCATTTATTTTTTCTTCATGTGTCTCCCCTTTGGTAACAACGATTTAAAATGGACTCATTTTTAGTGACACGGGAAAAAGATACGGAAAACTTAAATGAACAGCAGAAAAGCAGCGTGCACATTTCTGGTTAAAAAATAAAAGGCCATCAATTGACACTTAAAATAGGAAGCATTGCCATTTACATCAGCAGCAAGAGTCAATGCTAGTCCACAGTTTAGTAAACGTTGGAAACCTCTTTAAGTTATTCTTGACTGTGCTCTGTTGAGTGCTTTGATGCATTGCAGTACGGTAGAGCATTGTTTTGATGCAAAAACATTTTTTTCTTTCCGTACTGAGACTTGCTACTGCCAATCCATCCACAGACATCCTGCTGTTATCATATAGGAAATACTGCTGCTGTACATACAACATACATGAAATTGCCCAGTAGCAGATCTATACAGGTGGAGCTGGGGAAGGGTTTCTGAAGCGTGCTGCAACTGCTACAGCAAGCACTAGCTGAGTATTTAAATGTTGAGCAGCAAGCTCATTGGCTGCTGATGTGAAAATAAACCAATCAGCTGCTCTGCGCCATCTAGAGTTTCATGACAGAACTTTGTATTAATTTTTTTTATATTTCATATTTTTTTCTATATTTCCAACCACATAGTGTTTAAAAGATTTCGGCTCCATTTTCTTTGTTATTTTTGTTCATTTATAGTTCATACATTTACAGTCTATTTTTGTGTATCTGTGGTTTAGTGGATAGGACTAACCATGTACTCATGAGGGAATGTCTTCTTGCAAGGAGGTTTGCCAACAAACGCAAGAAGCAGTGTGAAGGAAACTGTAGTTTAGTAATCAAAAACAATTATTGATTTAGGCAATCTAAACATTTCTTTTATTTCATTTATTTTTCTATATCAAAAAGATAAACAAATTGTGATGATATACCCTTTCTTCTCTTTTCCTTAAAATTATCATTTGATACACAAATTTCATATGATCTAAATGTTTGTAGTAATTGCAAAAATTCTGTCTATTTTGACTGTTTGAAAAGTTATGCGTGTAATGTATGTATTTCTAATTGTAAATACTTGGTGTCACTGTTGGTGTAAAGAAAAGAGTATTCAAGGAGATGCTATTTTAATACTAGTTCTGGTGCTAGTTTATTTATTTTTTTTATTTGTCAGCAAGTGTGTGAAGTAAGAATATTTCTCAACAACAAATATAAGGGGATTTTAGGCCACATGTAGGTCTACAATACAGATCTATCCATACACAGTCATTTTCATCTAAATGGCGGATGCTTCGGCTCCTGCAGGACTTTGAAACTTTGACATGCCAGGAAAAAGTGTTTTGGTGTCAGTTTGTGACCATTGTTTGTCTGATATCAGCCACATTGATACAGTCCACACAAGAGAAGACATTCAGCTGTCTTGTGAACATTTCTAATGTATAATTAAGAACTATACTCTATTTTTAGGTACAAACTGATTTTAAAAACACTTTAATAAAACATTATCGAATTGTATTAATATTTGTATTAATTGAATTACTTTGTCTTTAGCTTGTAAATTTAGCACTATGTAGTGTATGATTAGTTTAAGATGGGATAAGATTTCTCATCATAATTTATTGTAATTCATTAATTTTGGGCATTTTTGCACTAATTCCATGTGTTAGAGCCCCTGCCCCTTTAATTGCCAATGGTAAAGTGCCTTTATGGTCCTACCGAGGTGCCCCTGGAACCATGGGCGATTGAAAGATTTTACTTTTTATTTTTTTTAATTAGTAATATTTTCAACTCAAAAGTAAATATGCAAATAATGTGGTTATTTTTAATTGTTATTTTGCAAATTAACACAAAATATTGAACACACTATGCTTTTATACCTCACAGCCTCATTTTCATTTCTGACAAAAATTCAGTATGGCTCTACTGACTACGCGTGTGCTGCCTATGTTGTTTTGCTTTCGCCTTCTAAAGAATTATCTGATGGACCTGTCACAAATGATGAAACATTCGATAAGTGTCTGGCTTTTTGTGCTATTCCTTTACGTGCTGTTACATTTACCTTGATTGTGAACATTTCGTTTCATCAGGGGTGGGGTGTATAGGTGAAAGGCAAACTCTTCCTAGATATAAAATCCCCATTTATAAAATATAAATAATATACAATTCTTTCTTTATATTAATAGTTAGAGAAATTATATGGAGGAATGTGAAGGGATTCCTACAGACTACAAATTCACTGAAATATTTCTAAATTTTTTAAGAAAACCTGATATATACAAGGGAGCTATCAAAATAACTAAACATATCTTAAGGCCAGAAAAAAAACTGAAGGTTGAGAGTTTTGCGTTAATGTCACGATTTTAAAATCAGCATTATGCAACAGCTCACAATCTATTATCACCATGATGCTTTTGGGTAAAATGTTAGACTGTTACCTACTTTCAAGGAGATCGAGTTTGGAATGTTGTAATTCTGGATCATGACATCACATGCTGTAGGTGTGAGGCATTTGAATATTCTTTACACACTGACATGCTTTACCTTATGAAGTCGCCTGAATGGCAGGAAAAACAATCTCAACACAAAGTAAGGGGTGGATGTATAGCAAAAAAGAAAAAAAGAAAAACAATATTGCACAGGTGTCGAGTATAAAACCAGACACAGGGAAGAAAACCGTCTTTTACGGTAACTCCCTGACCAACCAGATCCTTGCAGGTGTGATGTATTTCTTTTATCCTTTTAATTTATAAATTGTAATTAATTTAATCCATTTGCACAGATATGTTTTGTTTTTGTTGTTTTAACTTTTTTTAGTTTTAATTTTTGTTTTATTGTACTGATACTTGAGTATTACAACACTTGGGCAGGAACAGGGGCAGGATAATATGAAAGTACTGTAGAAGGTCACGGCTCAATTAAAATACATGACTTTAACTTTAAATACATGACTTTAAAAATACCAACTTTGAGACATTTTTCTGTTTGTATAGTTTGTCTTCAGACGACAGGCTTCTCTGAGTAAAAAAATGCCTCCTCCTCATGAGCGCCACGAAAGGACAACTGAACATGACGAGGGTTCTCCTACCAATCCTGTTAAGTTCCTGGGTCAGGACTATCAGAAGCTGCTCCAGAAATCTCTCAGAAGAAAAGAGCTGTACAAAGATGAGTTGTTCCCTCCAAACAGCAGCTCTATTGGCACTCTGAGTAAAGAAGCTAACCTGGACTATAATAATGTCATATGGAAGAGACCAGCAGTATGTAAACAATAATATTAAACAATAATAAATTATATTGCTTTCACTCTATATCCATGTTTTAAGGTGTTGAAAAAACACTTTGTTCATTCTGTCTGAACAGGAATTAGTGTCACCTGGTAAACCATTCTTCACTATTGATGGAATGTCCAGGTTTGATTACGAACAAGGCTGCAAATTGGGTAAGTTTGGGTTTATTTGAATACACTATGACATGGGCTCTAAGCGGTCATTATCTCAGTTTCTAAGTAGCATTACACATCAACTAAAATAACCATGTATGAACAGTATGATAAAACGCATAAATAATCACATTCATTGTTAGATTTGTCGATGTTTGTTTCCTGTACTGTGTATACACATATGAAAATCTCCATTCCGATTCTCAAGTTCGTATTTGTTTTTAGGGAACTGCTGGTTTTTGGCTTCAATTGGGGCTTTAATCTCAAAAGATGAGGAGACATCATTTATGACGAAACATATCATAAACCAAGTCCTTCCAACAGGCCAGACATTCAGCAACAATTATGCAGGGATATTTCACTTCAGGGTGAGTTTAATACCTATTTGATACGAAAAAGAAGTTTATTCAAGTGTGCTATTAGTATACTTCTTTTAAACAAAAAAATAGGAAGGTATACTTTTAGTCTACTTTTTATATACTTCTCAGAAATGGGCTTTGTGTACTTCTCAGAAATATACTTAAAATGACATTTAAATATACTTGACTTATACTATAGAGGTAATAATGACTGTCAAGCTTTGGGGTGTTGATCGACTCTACGCTTTGATGATCATTCTGAATCCAATTCGTAGACTTTTCAGCTTTTTGTTCAAAATGTTGTTTATTTCTTTATTTTTTATTTATGAAACGTACCCAAAAACTTACGAGTATACTTGCAGTATTAAACTACTAAACTAGTAGTTTACTGAGACTACACTTCAAAAGAATTTCACTAAAAATGCTATTACAAGTATTTAATTAGTAAACTATCAGTATACCCATAAGTTCACTTTTAGTATAGTTGCAGTACAAGCTAAAAATATTGATGTAAAGTAGTTGTGTACTCAAAGTTTACTACTGTTATTCTTAAAGTATACGTAAAAGTATACTTTTATCTACTAGAAAGTGGGTCAATTTAGTCCCAAGGAGTATTGAAATAGTTCTGTAATGGGACCGACGTCTCGTCTCGTGAGTATCCATTTGCAAGGCTTTTATTTCCAGACGTGGTCATAAAACAGGCATGGGTTCAACAATGGCAAACAGGTACAACACAGGCAAGACAAAGAGTAATCCTAGGATAAGCGTGGTCTTCGATCAGCGAACAATATCCAACAGGGCAAGGCAATGAGATAATCCAGATACACAACAATAGTACAGGCAGGGGCAAACAGAGTCCGAATGGCAAGGCAAAGGGTAAATCCAAGAAACACAGGCAAGAATCAGAACATGAGAAAACAGGCAAGGCAAGACTATGATTAGATTAAGAAAACTAGAATGGGCTCCGTAGAGTAGCTATCGCTAGAAGAGTGATATACGCTAAACCAGGGCTGTCCAAACTCGGTCCTGGAGGGCCGGTGTCCTGCAGAGTTTAGTTCCAACCCCAATTAAACACACCTGAACCAGCTAATCAAGCTCTTACTAGGCATAGAAACTTCCAGTCAGGTGTTTTGAGGCAAGTTGGAGCTAAACTCTGCAGGACACCGGATGGTAACAGATGGAAGTCCATGGGCAGGATTCGTGACAAGTACACTTACAAGTATACTACTAGTACGCTGATATTTGTATACTTGCTACATAAAGTATACTTAAAGTATACTACATTTTGGTAAGGGTGTTTATGAATCTTTGAATGAGTTTGATGATTAGGAAAACTTGGTTTCTCTTTTTAATCCTTAACCTTTTTCCTTCATCTTTGTCTCTGTGTAATTCATCTTACAGTTCTGGCGATTTGGGAAATGGATTGATGTTGTCATTGATGATCTGCTTCCAACAATTGATGACAAGCTCATTTTTGTGGGTTTGAAAACAACTAATGAGTTTTGGCCTGCCTTACTGGAGAAAGCTTATGCAAAGTAGGTGCCAGCAGATGCTGTGATATAAATACTGAATTCATTTACTTATTGTTTATAGTATCAAGAATATTGATGTGTGAAACATATGCATGATCTTCAGTGTTGGGATGGTTACTTAGTTGTAATAAGTAGTGTAACTTTGGTAATTAAATTACGTAATTCCGTTACATGTAACTAGTTACTCCCCAACACTGATGATCTTAGCTTTGATTTGCCCTCTAGATTTGGATGTTGTTGTGAGGAGGAACACAGTAACATCTTTAAACATTGACAGGGCACATTACATCATATTTACTACATTACACTGCACCATAACGTGGTTTTGGCTTTATAGGGTGTGCGGATCTTACGCAGACCTAGATGGTGGATTCATGTCTGAGGCCCTGATGGACTTCACTGGTGGGGTGCACATGGAGTTTGTGTTGAATGAAGCCCCTACTTATCTGTGGGACATTATGGATCGTGCAGCTAAGTCACAAACCCTCATGGGCTGTGCTTCTTATGACAGGGTAAGACCTCTCATAATCCTGGATTCAATGCTTCATTGACAAATACTGTTGGCTTAAACCAATGATATAGAAATACAGTTGAAATCAAAAGTTTACATACACCTTGCAGAATCTGCAAAATGTTAATTATTTTACGAAAATAAGAGGGATCATACAAAATGCATGCTATTGTTTATTTAGTACCGACCTGAATAAGATGTTTGTCCTAAACATTTAAACTGCCTGCTGTTCTTCAGGAAAATCCTTCAGGTCCCACAAATTCTTTGGTTTTGGAAAGTTTTTTTGAACCCTTTCCAACAATGACTGTATGATTTTGCGATCCATCTTTTCACACTGAGGACAACTGAGGTACTCATATGTAAACATGCAAACCTCTGGGAAATGTGTAATATCTTCAAATAAGAAGGGCAGTACTCAATGAAAAAAACATGATATTTAGGCAAAATAAAAAAAATGTATGCATTTTCTTAATGCATCGTTTTCCTTCTGGAGCATCAGTGAGCATTTGTACCTTCTGTAATAGTTGCATATGAGCAGTGCTTAATTTGTAAATCAAAAGGTGCCGGAACGCAAAACGCATATTAGAGCGGAGGGGTGACGAGACAGGTGCAGGTCCCGGAATGCACAAAAAACGGTGCTGAAAACAGCATGCTATGTGCTCAAATAGCCTACCCTCTTACTATTGTACTAATCTTCACAACACTCAAAAGCCCACATCAACCTCATGCTTAACTGTTGAACTTGCAGCATTTGCAGTCAGTAATTAATTTCGCAATAGGTATAGCATACTTCACAGTTCACAATTACACAAAGCTGTCTATAATATTAATAGATAAACAAACGCTTGCTTACCTTATCTAGTTGTCTAAAACACCCCACACCAAAGCCATGTTGTGATTCTCCTCCTCCCAGTTTCGGGTTTTACTGCGTATGTCTGTGGCAGTTCTGTGTCCTTTGGTTATCCACGACCTTACGTAAGGAACTGGATTGAATTTCGACAGGGGGATCCAACAAGATTCAGAAAAAGTAAGTATGATATGGTGGATGTGTGCAGAGAGGCACGGTTCGGGGAGCAAATCAAGTTCATTTGGGAAAATCCACGCTCACACTCGGCACTTGATATAGAAATGCTATTGACAGCCGCAAATAGCTCCTTCAGTTTATCAGGGATGCATTTTCCATCTGAATCTCTGTACTCTCTGTAGGCCCGAATGACTGCGCGTGGGCTGTCAATGTCAAAGCGCCGACAAAGCGATTCAACTTCAGTCTCTCCATACGTCGCACCAGTGTTCTCGGGCCAGTACTGTGCGTAAAGCACCTTCAACTCCTCAATAAACTTGTTATATCCAGTCTTATCCGGCAGCCGCCCACCTTGAGATAACATACGTTCCTCCATGTTCTTAGCCAAACTTGAGAAAAACAGCCTTTGGTTTAACGTTTTGTCGCTGAGTTTTCCTTCGTGCAGTGGGACGCCCTGGAATGAGTTAGCATCAATTCCCCTCTGGCTAAGTTTAGTGTAGCGCCCTGGCCTTTCAGCCATTGCCTCAAATACCCTGATTTGCCTACAAATTGCCTTGTGGGCAGATATTATGCTACTTTCTCTTTTTTGAATCTCAAGTGACAGTTCAGATCATTCTTGCAATGCATTGCAGATAATGCCAAGGTTGTTTACAAACGCAAAGGAAGATAAGCGCTTAACGAGTCCATTGTATGTTTGCTTCGTGATGCTATCACGAGCGGGATCCGCTGAAGCCGTTTTAAAATGCTTGTAAAGTGCTGGGTAATTTTTCCACACAGCTTCTACTGTTCTAAAACTTGATGCCACCCATCTTGTGTCTAATATCCGACCAATTTTGCATAGCTGAACATCTAAACTCTCTGCAGCATTCTTTAGCCCCATTCGGTTTTTGTTCATTCCGCTATAAATTGCATATAGTTTGTCCATCAATATTTTAAAATAATTAATAGCGCCTATCTCTTTCACAACGTCGCCTACTGCAAGTTCCAGCCTATGGGCTGAGCAGTGCCAGACAGTAATATTTGGGAAAATGTCCCTGAGCCTACTTGCTACTGTGCGAAAAACCCTAGCTGTAGTGGTTATCTGTTCTGACTGACTATTAACAATAGCCTGTACTATCGTGTCTCCTTTCGCCTTTTCAAGAATGTCTGCAGCTGCTAAATGAGCCTTGGTCCGGGCATGTTCAAATACTTTTTTTCTGAGTGTTCGTTGCTGTTTTTTAATATCCGAAGCAGACGAGGTCACGGTGCACATGACCCATTCCTTTGCTAGTTTCATTCCCCCAGTCTTTTCTGGCCCTAATGACCCCACTGCTTTACATGTTGTGCAGCCCAATCTAGATTTGTCCATTACAAGCCAGGGATAGCAGGACTGTTTAACACTGAACTGAGCTTCTGTCCAAATAGTGCATTCCATCCCTGACCTGTCGCCAGATGTCCCAACCTCTTCTCCGCTGCAAGCACTCTCCTCTCCCTCCAAATCCGAACTGCAATGTAGGCCTGCTTCACCTTGCTGTTGATCCTGGCTGGCTGGTGCCATGGCAGTGATAACCTCCTGCTCGTTAACGGTGCCGGTAGCATCCTGCACCTGCTCGGTACCGCAGCCGCCCTCCTGTATAGTCGTTTCACTCCTGGTTCGTTTAGCATCATCATTCTCTTCTTTTCTTTTGAAGAATGATAACAAATTTAACTGTCTTTTTGACATTTTTATGGCGCACGATTCCGACCCTTGATCTGTCTGCTTTAAGTTTTGGCGGTTAGACAGGTGGTCTGTGTACATGAGGTAATTACGCAGCGCTTTTCACGTCTGAATCCCACTTAATAAAAATATATAAACTAATAAATAACGTGAAATGTACTTAAAATGTGTATGTTATATTGTATATATACGTATATGTATAATTTATCATATGTAACATATTGTGTTTTGTGTTATTGTTGTTTTTATACCACGTGAGGTGCCGGATCCACGCAAATAGGTACCGGAACACAGACAGTCAAAACCTGAGAGGTCCCGGATCCTGTTCTGGCAGGATCCGGCTCAAATTAAGCCCTGCATATGAGTCCCTCAGTTGTCCTCAGTGTGAAAAGATGGATCTCAAAATCATACAGGATATGATCCCTCTTATTTTGGTAAAATAACATTTTGCAGATTCTCCAAGGTGTATGTAAACTTTTGACTTCAGCTGTATATGTACTTAGGATTTACATAAGTGTTTCTAAAGAGTGAGAGTCATGGGATGGAGTTAAATTAAAGGGCTAGTTCACTCAAAACAATTTCTTTCCTCATTTACTCACCCCTATGTCATTTCAAAACTCATAAGACGTCTATTTATCTTTGAAACACAATTGACGATATTTTATTTTTGTCTAACCATGCAACCAAAATGTTTATGTACAAAATAAATAAATAAATATAAGAAAATAATAATAATAAAAACATCACAAAAGTAATGAATATGAATTCAGCAATTTAATCCAAGTCCTCTGAAGAGACACACTCACTTTGTGTGATGAACAGGTTTAATTTAAAGGTTTTAGTCACAAATACACATTGATCTGCTGTATACTGATATGTTAACATTATAAACATCATTGATGTGTGTATTCTTGTTTGATTTTGATTATATAAATAAATCAGGAAACACGTGAAGCTGTGTCACCCAATGGCATAGTTGGGGGTCATGCTTACACTGTGACAGGTGTTTTCAAGGTAAGACCATGAAGTTTCATTGCTAGAAAGAAACCAAATACATAAAAGTGCATTGAGAAATATTCTTTTCAAACTTCTGTTAAAGCACTGTGCTCTCTTTATGCTTTTTCGCTGATTAACTGCATTATTCACAAAAAGCATTAGTCACAAATGCAATGCTGCAAGATGGCGCCCTGGCAGACGTGTTTGCTTGCTCCACTCTTCAACGCTGTTTTTGTGAGATGCACATATGTGACTTGCACAGACTTTATACAATTGTACAGTACTGTATTGCACTATTATATATTGCAATTTGTATATTTGTAATTTATGTCTCTTTTTTTTCTTATTTATTAATACTTTATTCGTGTTTGTTATTAGCGACACTCAGAGTGGAAAGCAAAGAATTTCATTGTACAGGGAAATGTGCATATGACAATAAATTATTATCAAACCCATTTATGTTTTCCTGATTATACATGACTATGTATTTTATTTTTTGTGCGTTTATGCCCCCTCTAAATTGTTTCTGTATTTTGTCTTAAAAATGTTTGAAACCTACAGAAACACTATTGGTTTTATTGAATAGGTGATGAGTGAAGGAAATCCAGTTCATCTGGTGAGAGTGTTAAACCCATGGGGAAATACAGAGTGGAATGGAGACTGGAGTGACAAGTAAGTGTTGCTTTTATGTACAGTTTCACAAGTTCTTCATTGCATCAGAAAATGTACATCTTAAATAATCACCTAATCACTTTGTCCTATCACCTCACCTATTAAATATTATTTTGTTTGCATTTGCTGGTTGATTTTACAGGGCTGCTGTGTTGCTGGTATGACACATGAAATATATTGCGTGTATAATGTATTTAATTCTTTCAGATCATATTTGTGGGACACAGTGAGTAAGCAGGACCTCAAGTGCCGTGAACGTCTTGAAAACGGGGAGTTCTGGTCAGCATTAATGTTGTAATATATGACTGTATTCAAAGCATGAATCACATTTACTTAGGAACACATGTCTGTTCTGCAGGACGTCAATGGAAGATTTTACCAGAAACTTTGAAAGCTTGGATATCTGCTGTCTCTCTCCTGATTTTCTGGACAGATCCTCTGGATGCCATTGGAAATCACAATGCAATTTTGGCAAATGGATTGCTGGGACTACAGCTGGTGGTTCCATGGACAATATGGGTACAGTTATATAATTAAAAATTTTTTTTTTTTAATATCTAGTATGTTTATATTTATATCTAGTAATATATAGGCTTCTATATGTTATAAATGCATGTATAAATTGTGGTTTCAATAATGATACTCTTAATAAAAAACAATGGGAAAGTATGGAATATAATGAGTTAATATAAGAACTTCCCCCTGGATTTTGGGGATGTTTTCATCTGTGACCTCCTCCAAAGGCCCTCTTACTGAGCATAAATTTTCACCATACAAAGAATGCAGATGATTATTGTTAAGCATCCGACCTGGGTTTGATTTATAAAACGACTTCTAACTCTTTCGTTGTGTTTTAGCGACTTTCTGGAAAAACCCTCAGTTTCGGGTGAGGATCGAGGAGCTTAGTGAGGACTGTACTCATGAGGAGGGTGCTGAAAACATACTGGTGTCGCTCATGCAGAACCATGAGAAGAGAACCAGAAGTAGCCAAAAGAACTTCATGATTGGTTTCTATGTTTTTATGGTCAGTATTGACAGATGTAGTTCTGCAGGTTTTACATTTCAGAGAGATTGTAGCACTGTTTCTTAAATGTCTATAACATGTTTAATTTAAAAAAAAAAAATTTTTTTTATTGTTTTTGATATGCTTGTAATTTGTCTGCTACAGATTGGTTAAGAAAACTGTAACGTATTCGTAAAATGTACAAGTGAATGATAATTAAAAGGAGAAATAATATACTTTTCTAGAGATATTTTTAGTGACTGGACATAACAAATATAGTTTGTGTGTGTCTCTTTCATGTCATTGCTACTTTAGCAACCTTTTTTATACTTCTACAGTCACCATCCTAAGTAAATCAGTAAATATTAACTCATAGTCAAATATTGAGAGTACGGTATTGACTCATCTAATTCTTCTTTAGGTGAGAGGTGAGAGTGGGAAGTTCTCAGCTGAGTTCTTTAATGACAAAACACCTGTGGAAATTAAGTCTTTCCAAAACTTGAGAGAGGTGATGGGATTCTTCTGGCTGGAGCCAGGAGAGTACCTGATTGTACCGTGCACAGAGAATCCTGGTCAAACTGCCTCCTTCATTCTGTCTATTTTCTCAAAGCATGAGACACACTTTGAGTAAGTTGTGGTGCAGTCAAAAGATTTTAGTTAATTGTACACTTGTCATTAAGCTTAGTTAGACAGATTTGGGGACAGTCAAAGTTCATCACTTGAGCCTGCTTAAAAATGAAGACCTTCACAGCAGAAACTATTTGGAATACAAAGTTAATTTTATGTATTCAGTGATTAATATCTTCAGTTTGGTCTATTAGCTTCTGTCCTGAAAAGTTCTTCTCTTTACATCAGATATATTGAAGAGGCTGAGGAGAATGAAGACACTTCCTGATGTAAGCGAAGCCTGTCACTCAAAGTGGCTACTTGGAGAAATAAGTCAACTTATACCTAATCACGTTTTCTTTGTTCTTTCATGCTCAGTTCAGAATGGCTATTTAGCTTTATTTTATTACTCTTTTTTCCTCCAAAGAAATCAATTTGTGACCACTGTTGACAGCTGTTAAACTAAAGCTAATGTCTTCTATGTTTGGTGGTTGATTTACTGTGTAGTTACATTTTCCCTAGAAATTTGTTATTTGGTGTATACTATTACTTGCTAATAACGTTACACTTTATTTTGATAGTCCACTTTAGACATTCTACTAACTATTAGTAACTTTGCAACTACATGTCTACTATCTCTCAGAGTAGACTGTTAGGTTAGGTTTAGGGTTAGTAGAATAAGCTGACATATACTTGCAAAGTTTCTTATAGTCAGTATGTTGTATGTTGTGGACCCATCAAAATTAAGTGTTAGAAGATATTAAGCAGACAGTCTACAAATACTCGAATGACTGCTAGTTGACATTTAGTTGCAAAGTTACTTACTGTTAGTAGAATATCTAAATTGGACTATCAAAATAAAGTGTTACTGCCAATAAATATACAATTCATGAAATTGTGTTTATTTGTATTTATCTGTTTTAATATTTCTAATATACCAATAGATAATCACACCATCCTTTGACACTAAGGTCAAACAAAATCATTAATTGATACCTTCGGTACTACTGTATGTTTACATGCATACTTCATTCGAATATAGCTTATACAAGTGTGCTTTGCAATCCTAGGTACTACCAAAAGTCCAGAGTTTTGGACTTTTAAGTCCAAATAAGCACTGTTGACACTTTTGGCTTCCCTAAATGTAACACAAAAACGAAGTTATTTTTTTATTTATTTACTTATTTTTTAAGTTATTAAAAATACATGAAAACTAGCAGTATAGATTGGCAGGAAAATAACAAATTAAACAAATGCCTGCACTGAACGCTTTTATCCTCCATATCCTTGCTGCTCACAGCTTATATTTCACCTGCATCATCAAATTCCTAGAACAGTGGTCTTCTCCATATATGGAAGCAGCTTTCGTCTAAGTCGTATCCAAAGACATGGAAATAGAATCTGTTTTAGCTGACTGAAAAATAGGCTATATGCGCCTCAAAACACTGTGATGGGTGCATTATTAGAAAAATAGTTAGGTAATTATCCGTAGTAGGCTGTACAGAGCAAATGAAAATACAACATTGTAATATATGACATAGACAATGTCAGCTCAAAGATGGAATTACTTTTTGTTGTTGGACCTGTATAAAAGCTGTGTTATATCTATTTTATTTCTTTAAATCTATTCTGTAAATTATACATTTAAAACGCTCTTCTCCAGAAATTGAGAAAATCTGTGTTTTTAAATCGTATTAAACTTTAGAAGTTTTGCTCTCTCTTTTTTTTTTTTTTTTAACGTCATTACGTAATCAACATCCAAATGAACTGACCCGACTTGTGCTCAATGCGCTCTCAGTCAGTCAGAGCGCCCCGATCCTCAAAGACAGGTAGGCTATGTTTTTACAGCGCTGTGCACAAGAGTATGTAGACATATAAAGTGAACGATGTAGTCAATATTGCGGGATTGTTTTAATTCTAGAATGTTAATATGCACCTGTTTTAGTGTCGTTAGCTTTATGAATCTTCGAAGTTGAATAACGAGCTCATTCACTTGCCCCGTTAGTTTTTTTTTAAACTAGGCTACTAAACAGCAACAACAAATACATTTTTTTTTTACGTTTGATAAATTCCATGATTATAGTAGGTAAATATCATGATACAAATTATTTTATTAGAATTCACTGTTACATTACAAAACTTAATTATGTGATTTTTTCAGAACCGAAATGTTTTGTTTTTATGCGGGAGTGTAGCCTACATCTAAAGTTTTACAAAAGATTAATTTGTGAACACAAGATCCCTCCGGGGATGCTGACACCTTTTAAACTACTTCTTTTGTTTTACTTATACTCAATATTTCTGTCAGTAGCCTATATCAGCGATCATGTCGTGTGTTCCGTATTCCGTAACTTCTTTTCAAAGAAACTGTCAAATCAGTTAGCAAAACGGCAGGGTGGCACGGGGTGGCAAGAAAAAGCTGTAGACCACCCCACCTTCCACCCCAGAATTATGACAGAATAAAATATAAATGTAAGCAGTGTTACATGTGCTACTTTTCAGCCGCGGCGATGACTGAGTAGCAAAATAATGGCAAAAAAACACGACTTTCAATAAACTGTGCACGATGGTTGCACGCGCACTTCATTAAACGACTCTTATGAACCGGAGTCAAAACCACAAAGCGCGGCCCAGTTCACTACTAACGAATTGTTTAAACATTTGTTCGTGAATCAGATAATTACTGCTTCTCAGCTAACTCAGAAGTCCTCTGAGAAATCTAATCCCGTCCGGATATGTCTGAGATGCATCGCGTAATTGTTTGGTTACCCGATTCTCCGACTGATCCACTTTCATCATGGATATAAGCCGTAACAATAACATGAAATCAATAAGA